TGCCATCAGGGGTGGTTCTCTCATAGTGGTCCTCTGGGAGAGCTAGAGGTCCTATTCTTGGCCCAGAGGACGACTTGCTACTTGGGGTCTCTGATTCCTCTAGGCCGCTGTCATAGTAGCTGTGCTGAGAAGGGTCCTGGATGTCAGGGGCCTGGTTGGATGTAGAAAACGTCACTCGGCGATGAGGTAACTACAGAAAAGATTAAAAAAGAAAAAAAAATTAATGAATACATTGGACGTATCAAACATTAAAACAGAACTTTCAGGCTTATACAGTAAGGCAATGTACAGATGTTCAGATTTGTTTATTGTAACTATACAGGGGGTTAGTGTATGAAAACTGTGCTGCAAAACAGACAACACTATTGCTTGTAGCAGCCAGTTAACTTTAATTCCTGCAGTTAAGTTTAAAAACAAAACAAGGCATCCGATTGGTTGCTGTGGACAATACGAAATGTTCCTGTTAGAAATCCTTTTTATATATCAAACATATGGTTCCTTTTATAGTCATTTTTCCATACCTTTTGTATAGTATAGACATATATTACCCTGCCATCATCTAGTTAAGCAACAACATTCAGAGGTACCAACTTCATGGCACAGAGCAAACTCACATCTTTAAAGCAAACCTGTGCTTTGCCCGATCAGGAAAAAGCAACAGGTTTGTCAATCCCCCACTTTTAGCAGCACATACCTAACATTTCTTCTCTGTTTAGCACTGGGAGATAAAGGAAAATACTGGTACTTTCAGGTATTGGGGCGTATATAATTAACTCCATGTGACAAAGCTGGGCCAATCAGTGCTGTCACATATGAAGTCCTTAGTCCTGTGTAAGTTACTAATCTGAAGACCTATACCTTACACAGGGATTTTCCTTACCATCATGGAAGAAGAATGGAGTGATCTGGAAGCTAAAGCAAAGCATATAGGTCTATAAAGGTCTCCAATAAAAGCAGCCTGGTGCTTTGCATTGCATGAAAGACATTCCCAGCATAGAATATTGACTGCTGACTGGTTCTGTGCTTGTAAAAGGTTGGAACAATGGCTAATGGTATAATTATTATTACTGTAGTTTATTCATCTTTATCGCTACAGTAGTAACAAATGCTGTATTTGCAATACAAGAAGTCAATTTACCCTTGCAACAATCCACCTCATTATATGCTATTAATACTGAGTATACAATGTGCATGGAATTCACATCATTACGTGCTATTGTTATACAGTACACAATACACATTATTTTTGCAATAAAAAAAGAAAAATCGCCCTACCACATGCATGGCATTGCTAATGATTAAGAATTTATCGACGAATAAAATAACTTAACATTGTCTCCATTAAGGTCAAGTAATTGGACAGAAATAATGTGGATGTATGCGTTAAATTAATTGATCTATTATTAGATAAGCTAGGTGTTTTGGGTGCTATAGAAACAAACACAGAACATACGGCATAGAGAAAAAAAAAAGTAGACAGTACTTTGATACAGAATGTGCGCAATAACATTTCTACTTGCTTGTGGTATTATAGCCATTCAAGTTTAGTAGCATTAGTTACATTATGGAATTTATGTATTTAAAGGGAAGATGCTGTATATAATATGGTCTGGTATATAAAAGTTCACTATAAAATGATCAAGTATATACTGAAAGTTATGTTCATTTTCCGAAAAGTAAAGCCAGCCGGACATATATGGATCAAAATTCAGCTGGTGCAGCATCCGTGTTTGGGCAGGCTAGTTGTACAGAAGTCGATCGATCAGCTTGTGTAGAATCAGCCTGTTGTGTTTTTGCCGAGTGATCAGTGCTGCAGCTTATAGCCAGCAGCACTGATCATTGTATTAAATAAAGCCAAAGCATAAATAGGTTGTGCGTCCCTTTTAAGTGCGATCAACAACAATAATAAATAAGTAATAAACAGTACTAAACTATGTAATATAGTGATGATAATCCAATAGAACTGAGCAAACTGTTGGCACTATATAAATCCTGTATAATAATAATATGTGAAATTGTTGAACAATAAAGTCATACATCCACACAATGCAAGAGTCCATAGCCTGATGAGTGTGCTTTTGTAAAAAAATATACACATGTGACAACTTCAGTGTTCCACCACCACCGCCTCTTACCGGAATCCTAAGATCCCAAAAACTAAGGTCATATGCGCAATATACTTGGAATCTAGCCAAGCGGCTACAGACACAATCTACTAGACATTGACCTTAATCATCTTTTGTTTGGGTACTTTTATAGATAAATATAAAAAGTTCAACCACTGACTGGTGAGCAGCAGACTAATGACTTAATTCCTTTGCTCATTCGGATGTCTTCTCTCAGCATGCACTTTGTCAGCATACGTGAACGCAGCAGTGCTGACTGGCCCCGACTTCTGCCCCCTCGTCTCCCAATCTGAGCTCTGCTTTACTGGGCATTGCAAAAGGTTTATTATGCCCAGCAAATTTTAGATACTTACAGTAGTTGCTCTTAAAAAAAAAACAAACAAAAAAACTAAAACAAAAACAACACACACTTACCAGATTATTAATGAATACACAAATGCATTACATAATGTAAATGAAAAAGTGGAAGCACACACTGGAAAACCGCCAGGTTTTAAGTGTTTCAGAAAGGCTTCAGCTTTGCCTTCTCCCAAGCCTCACCCCTCTAACACATTTTACCTGATCATAGAGGCCTATAATTCAGCCCACGAGCGGGTGAAACGCATTAGCGGAGCATAGCTTGGAAGGAGGCAAAGCTAAAGTCTTTCCGATACACTTAGAACAAGGTGGCTGTCTAGTGTGCACTTCCCTCTTATCATTTTCAGAGTTTTTTGGCAGGGCAAGATGTGTCCTTTGGAAGCTAACACCTGACAGGGTTGGAATCGCTGGTAATCTTGATGAAGCTTGGAGCAAAGCTTTGGGTTTATAGAGTGCATTCAATTATTTGATTTGGCTTGAATTCAGCTTTCGGTGGGTTTACACTCACAGGTGCACCTGCTTAGGTATCTTCCCCTACTACCTATCAGGTTAAAGAACACATTCTCCCACTGCAAGCCAAGCCTTAAAGTGGAACTACATCCAAATCCAAACTCTAAACCTACTCCCAGCCCCATTCTAAGCCTAATCTAACTAACCCTGTGAAAAGATCCCTATACTTACCTGTTCTGAAGTTGCTTTGGTCCGGTCTCCAGCGGTGGCTTCTGTGTAGAGAGTGATAGACTTACTATGGGGCATCCGTTTCCGACTGGCTTTGCTCTTCACAGAAGCCGCCACTGACAGCCCAGCATGGAACTGGACTGGAGCAGCTGCAGAAAAGGTAAGTATAGCGATCTTTCCCAGGATTAGATAGATTAGGCTTAAAATGGAGCTGGGAGTAAGTTTAGTTAGTTAGGATTTGGGTGGAATTCTACTTTAACTTTCAGATGGTGTTTGGCTACACAGTATAAAGATACAGTAAACTAAATATAATTAAAAAGAAAAAAAAATAGCAAAAAGTATACATACAAGCCCATTCACACTACTGCGTTGTAGCACGCGTTGGTGAGATAAAGTTGCATTCATTTTGAAAAGTGCCCCATTGCACCTTGCCAATGAGTGTGTCTTATTAACATTCTGCTAAAAACTTTGTGTAGTAGAACTGAATGGACCTTGAAAAAGGGGGTACTCCCTGAAAGATTTTCCTGAAAATTTGGATGTTAGTGCAAATACAAAAAAGGAAAAAAAAAAAAAGGATAAAAAAAAAGGATAAAAAAAAGGATAAAAAAAAAGGATAAAAAAAAGGATAAAAAAAAAGGATAAAAAAAGGATTAAAAAAAAGGATAAAAAAAAAAAAAAAAAGGATAAAAAAAAAAGGACTTTCTACTGCACTGACAAAAATGCTACTTTTTGGTCCATTGGGCAGCCCTTTGCAATGAATGATTTGACTTAACATAACACACGCTTAACTCGTGTGTCCTAATGCACCACAAAAGTGTGAATGGGCCCTAAAGGAACAAAAGGTTGCTTTCTTTAGACTTGCCTGAAGTTCACCTTTAAGCGCATTCTCAGCTGTTGATTTCTTGCAGGGCTCTGGTCAGCAGGGAATGTATACATTGGCGTTACCATGTCATGAGCTGATCTACCAGACCCCAGAATGCTCTTGAAGTTTATGTATAGGAGAGAAAAACAAAAACATTCCATTCATATGACAGGAATTCCTGTATCTCCCATTGTTTGCTCCCTTCAAGTAAGTAAATCAATTCTAGTCGTGGGGCTATTGTCAATGCTATAACGGAAAGCCATGTTATTTTTGCCTGTCTATAGAAGAAATAAGCAGCATATGAGCAGCAATGTCATCTAATGATTTCTGGCACACTAATGGCGCCATCTGCACCTACCGCAGCACGGTAACTAATACGTTTACATACGAAAATAACCCCATTAGGATTCCGTTGGAAATGACTGCTACATTGATCAATCCACCTATCATTAGGCAGGGATGTGTATACTGATCCCACGGAGATAAAATACTGCTTTCATTTAATAATCTCACTAGCTTGTGAACACAAATAAGAAAAAATCAGTTCGTATACCATATTCTCATTCTAACGCATTACATTTTTTTTTTTTTTTTTTTTTTTTTTCCTTAGACGTGGCTACAAACCCCACAAGGGTGTGTTGGTTGGTTGAATATTGTCCTGGATGATTCTCATCAATCAGCCCTCTACATTGACTGTCGGTACAGGTGACCCTTAACCACTTGCCTACCGGGCACTTATACCCCCTTATTTACCAGGCCAATTTTCAGCTTTCAGTGCTGTCACACTTTGACAATTGCGCGGTCATGCAAGATTGTACCCATATGAAATTTTTATCATTTTTTTCTCACAAATAGAGCTTTCTTTTGGTGGTATTTAATCGCCGCTGGGCACTTTACTTTTTGTGCTATAAAGCAAAAAAAGTGCAAAAAAATTTTGAAAAAAAAAAAAAGTTTCTTTGTTTCTATTATAAAATTTTTTAAACAGGTAATTTTTCTCCTTCACTGATGTGCGTTGATGAGGCAGCACTGATGGGCAGCACTGATAGGCGGCACTGATAGGCGACACTGATAATGAGTACTGATAGACAGCACTGATAGGTGGCACTGACTGACATCACTGCTGGGCACAAACTGGCGGCACTGCTGGGCACTGACTGGCACAACCGCTGGGCACTGACTGGCAGCACTGCTGGGCTGCACTGATGGGCGCTGGTGGGCACAGGTGGGGCACTGGTGGGCACAGGTGGGGGCACAGGTGGGGTGGGTGGCACAGGTGGGTGGCACTACTGGGCACAGGTAGATGGCACTTCTGGGCACAGGTGGTGACACTGCTGGGTGGCACAGGTGGGCGCACTGCTGGGCACAGGTGGGTGCATTGCTGGGCACAGGTGGGTGCATTGCTGGGCACACTGCTGGGCACAGGTGGGCGGAACTTGTGTGTGGCACTGCTGGGCACCGATCATCAGGGCACTGATGATCAGTGACCCTGATGATCGGTGCTGATCCCCGCTGTGACAAATGCCGGTTTTCGGCAGTACTTTCCTCACGATCTGACAGCGTGAGGAAAGTGCAGCCGAGAACCGGCATTTGCATTTCCCGGTGATCAGCGTGTCATTGGACACCGCTGATCACGTGGTAAAAGGCCGCTGTGATTGGCCTTTTACCACGTCACGTGATCAGCTGTCCCCGTAGGACACAGCGATAACGGAGATCGCCGGGGGCGCGCAGGAGAGCGCGTTCTGGGTGGACGTCATATGACGTCCACCCAGAACTGGCCAGGCGCAGTGCAGCCGTCATTCGGCTATCTGTGGTTGGCAAGTAGTTAAAGAGACCTTGTTGTCACACCATTTATGTCAACAAAAACCATCCCATACGACTATATGGGCATTTCAAGTTGAAACACTGGGATCTGTACAAAAAATACTTTTGCACAGGGGCCTCCCACTGCAAGGGTTAACTGCTTGTGAAGTCTAGGAGGAATATGGTGTAATGTTTACCCTATACCTCCCTTTGGCAGGCTTTGGCTCTCTTCTCCATTATGCTCTGGACTGTGTATGGTGGTCCCTTGCCATCCTCACATACAATGATGGGCTTTTGGCCTTGCATTGTATCTGATGACATCAGTGCATTAGAAGCCTTAGGGGACCAGTGGCATGGACCGCAGGAGTCTACCATGGAGAGGTAAAAGGTAAGTATTAAATCTAATTTCTCTACCCCCTAAACATAATGAGAATTTACCTTTGCAACACAGAGGGCCCCCACCCCAGGGGTAATTTTTGCGTAATTTCCAAAGTTAGGCTATAATGTATTTAATACATTTTATTTACCAGCAAAGCCCCTTGTGTCCAGACATGTACATGTCCTCAGACTGCTGCAGGGCATGGCCATCCTTGATGCTTGATGTGATGTTAAAAACCCCAAAAGAGTCAGAGCTGTCGCTTAGGTGACACTCCAAGGCCCCTTTAACACTGGTGCACTTTTGCCATGCTTTTCCAGGGCGACAAAAACACATGAAAACTATTCTCCATTAAATCCTATGTAACGGTTTACACTGCAGGTGTTCTGCGCGTTGAAAAGTCCTGCATCTTTGATGCAGTTTTTCAAAAGCATACCATAAAGGCACCTTCCATTGTAAGTCAATGGGAATGCATCAAAAGTGCATCAGTGTGAAAGGGCCCTTAAGTATTTCCCTTTAGAGCTGATTCACACATGTGCAGTACAAGCTGAAGCTCAGGTTTCAAAGCTAATTGACACAGCAGTGATTCAGCAGTTCATGTCAGGTTTACATGAGGTTCAGGACAGGATTTTATCCTGTTCACACATATGCGGTTTAGAAATGGTTCCCATAGAAATCGACAGCCTATAATCTGCACCTGAACCTGAAGGCACTGCTCAAAATTGTACATGACTCTTTTTCAAACCGTATTGAATCCGCACTGCCAGTGTACCAGGCATATGTGAACAGGCACCATAGGAAGCAATGGTATTTCACATGTCATGCAGATTGGATGCGGTTCAAATCACATCCAATCTGCATATATATGAAACGACACTTACTCCTCTTCTGGCAGCTTCAAAAAAAATGTTCTGTATTGAAGAAAAGTTAGAAAAGAGGAGCTTTTAGCCACTCTCAGAAGAGAAGAGGACTATAGGGAACAAGAAGGAAGGGGGCTGTGCTAGGCCATCTTGAGTTGGTTAAATTTTTTAGAGAGGCACATTGCAAGCAAATTAATAAAAAAAAAAAAATATATTGGAATGGAAAAAATACAAGCAAGCATTTAAAATACTTAATTTGTGGTGCTTTTATCTGCTATTTGTAAGTCATTACAGGGTCTCTTTAAATTGATCAGACATGTGGAAGTTTGATAGACAGATCCAACTTTCAGTTTCATTTTTTTTGTTGATATTGGAAAGCATCTGAAGATCTAGGTCATCTTGAGTTGGTCACAATTTCTAGAGAGTTTAAAGGCACATTGCAAGCAAATAAAAAATATTGGAATAGAAAAAATGTAAGCAAGCATTTAAAATACTCAATTTGTGGTGCTTTTATCTGATATTTTTAGGTTGTTACAGGGTCTCTTTAAACTAATTATACATGTGACACTTTGATAGAGAGATACAACGTTTCATTTTCTGTCGATATTGGAAAGCATCTGAAGACCTAAAATAGTTATTTTTTTTTTTCGATTGTCCACATGGAGATAGGCCTATATCATGCAAACATTTCCTCACTTAGAACATTCTAAATTGCCTGTATGCATCTTATACCAAGACCAGGGGCGGACTGACCATTTAGAAACTCGGGCACTGCCCGAGGGCCCGGGGTCAGTAGGGGGCCCCATAAGATGCCCCTTGTAGCAATATGTTATATGCTGTGTAGGTACCTTTTTCATAGGCTTATTTGAGTTTGGGCAAGGACACAGGGGCCCCATGATCCCCTATTGCCCAGGGGCCCCATGAGTTGTCAGTCCGCCCCTGACCAAGACCCATTGTTCCCATGCTCAGAATTAAAAACTGGGGACACCTGCCCAAAAACTGGAGATACATGGTTGGCGCCACACCCAATTAGCTAAGCCTGTCCGGTCGAGGTTCAGAAATTATAAGCATCTCTCTATAGTCTGCTCTGCTGGGATGTAGGCAAACCCTACCAGGATTTGTACTGTTCCAGCCCAACAAGCCCATTGTCTATGAAGCCTGGCAGATTTTAGTATCGTTTATACAGCCAACTTTTTTGTACTGAACAACAAAATCCAGCATGCTCTACTGTCACTTCTATGAACCGTAGTATGGTAGCAGCTGGGAAGCTGCAGGCTGCAGTTCTGTCCTACTGTGGAAGTAGTTACATCCTCCCTGAAAACATCCATTAAAAGCCTCATGGTAAACACAGTGGCAACCTCATCTGGCCTCTCCGCTACTGCTGAGCTTTATTTCGATCCTGGAAGAGCAGGGAGAGGGAAAAAAAAAAAAAAAAAAAAACACATTAATAACACTTTTGTGATTATAAGCGAATTTTTATCCAGTGAAATTTCTGCTCTCAGATGCCCGCACTGTGGTGATACTGGCCATTTGTCTCAGGAGGAGATGATACCTGTATTAAGTAACAGATGTTTATGGAGATTCGCAGATGCCTGCTTTCAGAATCGCACTACTGCTCTCTTCAATTGGCCGCCTCGTGTTTACAGATAAAAGCTTTCAGGACATAAGTGTTTCTGCAAGTCGGCATCTTACAAACATCAGTTAGCCAATAAAAGGTCAACACGCACAGCGAAAAAAAAAAACAAAAACACTATATGTTTTTACAGCTTGTCAAAAAGAACGTTCGCCTTGTGTTGCCTGTACAGGCTTTGGAATGGATGAAAAGGGCGGGCGACTAGGAGTTGTGATGAAGAATCTCCTGTCCTCTAATCTTCCTGGTGGGAGGCAGAATTACGCCGAATTAAAAAGGTAAAGGCCCACTCACATCACTCAGGTCCGTTGCACTACATTAAAAGCATACGCATTACATTGTGCATTCGCTTGCATTGGGATAATGCTGCCCATTCATTTAATGGGTTGCCTAATGCATAACACAATGAACCAATAATTGGACAGGCTGCTAGTGGGTTACCATGTTCTGGGAGACGCTGGAAAAATATGTTATGGTGCCATTCAGAATGAACAGCATAGGACTCCACAAGTGGAATGCAGCCAGTGGCAGCAAATCATGGAACAAAGGAACCACTTACATTTTTACATGGAAAGGTAAGAAAAGAGACAATAACTATGGTTGACTAGCTTTATTCACCTATATAATGGTCATGGTTATGACTGTAAAATAGTTGTGATTGCTCTGAAATGACCAATTACATGGGCCAAAGACTTCAATTAAAGCTGAACTCCAGGCAAACAGCCAAATACCAGATGAAATGAATATAAAGGAGGATTTTTACCTGCTAAAGGTTTTGTATTTGAATTGGTTCTTGAGATTTACACAGCCCCATTATACAGCAAAGCCAGATGGAGGGCACAGCTTTCCCTGATACAGTGGTGGTGTCCTTTCTTTTTACCAACAGCCCGCTGACTGGACAGCAAAACAGCAGCAGACTGATGCTTAGGCTGGCCATACACTATACAATTTTCTATCCAATTTCTGCCCAATTTCCTTTAGATTTGCCTTCAACTATATAGTGCAAGGGCCTGCCTAATTGGATACAATTGAAAATGTTGTTTAGGTTTGACCTCGTATTATATGGTTTTTGGTAAATTTAAAGTAAAATTCTCAGGAAAATTGTATAGTGTATGGCCAGCCCAACTCTGCTCTCTCCTCCTGTTAGCATACTTTTTATCAGCACATTTGCATGCAGCATGCCTGATTATTATTATTATACAGGATTTATATAGCGACAACAGTTTGCTCAGCAATTTACTATATAATGGGAGACAATACAGCAACAATACAGTTCAATACAAGAGGGATTTGAGGGCCCTGCTCCTTGGAGCTTACAATCTAGGAGGGAGGGGCTAGTAGTACAAAAGGTAGTAACTGTGGGGGATGGACTGGTTGGAAGAGTAGAAGATTCCATTGTTAGCTGGATAGGCTTCCCTGAAGAGATAGGTTTTCAGAGATCGCCTAAAAGTGAGCAGAGTAGGCGATAGTCTGATAAATTGGGGTAGAGAGTTCCAGAGGATGGGATTACCTTTCAATCCTCCCCCTCCCAGTCTAGGTGATGCTATACAAGGGATTGCAATAGGCTGACATGAAGTCAGTTACTTATACTTAGCCCTCATGCACACAACGCTTTTACAGCTGCTGTTTTTGGCAAATTACATTTTTTTTCTACAGTTAAACCCCCCAGCATGTCATCCTATGTGTCCTTGCACACATAGGGTGTAATTGTTTTTTGGCTGGGACATTTTTTGGCAGGAAACCCCCCCCCCCCCCCCCAATACTAGTGGGTTTCTAGAGGAGTTTTTTTTAGCTGTAAAAACGCGCTAACGCTGAAAAACGCTGATAAACGCTGATAAAATGTGGTAAAAAGCCGCAAACCGACATTATTGAATGTTTGGACTGCTAAAAGACGCAACCGTGGAAAAACACGGAAAAACGCAGCTAA